TTGTGTGAAAAGCTTAGGAAAGAGTAAGTACTCAAGAGGTGCACACGTCATAAAGTGATTGAGTTTTGTTGCAAGTCATTTAAATTCATGTATATGTATTTTAGTATTTGTATCTGTATATATGGGGTTTGTAGAGAGTCTCCTTGAACTTCTTGTTTGTGTGTATTAGCCTTTTTTATCCTCCTATTTTTGTTTAATTAACATCATTTGAACGATAAAAGGATAATTATGTTGAGATGGTTGATATTTACTAATTTGGGATGTATATGCTTGAGTTTGTATGGTGAATGTGACAGTGTTGCCAAGATATACAAAAATGTTATATATGGAGTGAGGCCTCAGGCAATGAACAATGCAACAAACCCCAAGGTGAAGGTGTTCATTAAGAAATGCCTTTCTTAGCCAAAAGAGAGACCCTATGCCTTTCATCATCACCAAGATCAATTTAAAGGTGAGGGAGGATTTAAAGTGAGAGGAATGAATGGTGGGTATTGTCTATTGTGAATAAAGTTTTATGTTATCCAAATTTGAATTGATAGAAAGTTGAGATGTATTTTGTGGGCATTTATTAATTTTTTTTTGATTTTGATACTCTCTTTGTACATAATTATGATATCTTCCAACAAAAATAGATTGGTGTTAATACATCTTATTATATATTTGGCTGAATTTGTCGGTTATGATGGTATTTGAGTGTATGTGCAGGCTCATTTTATTGTATTTATTAGATTTAAAATCAATATGTTTATTTATTTTTTGGGATATGTTATCCAAATTCATTTGGAAATATTATACTATCAAAATTAGCCACTAATCCCTTGTCAGTAGGAGTATTTTAGTTAAATTATATTCCATTCCAACAAAAAGATTTGGTCCATCCAAACATAGGAAAGGAATGGACCCATTCTAGCACTTAATCCCAATAGATGTTAAACAAGGGAATGCCGATGTCTATTCCATTCTATTCATTCATTCCACTTCAACTTCATTTTATTATTGCATACCAAATGTACTGTAAAAGTTTTTGGCATTATGAGGGCTATTATGGCTACGAAAACAGTCTACCTCGTGAAGAACTATATGGAGTGGTTGGTTAGATTATGACTGTGAAAACAGTCTATCTCTCTCTTTGAGGGGTTAGATTTTGTATATTTGACGGGTCTAAAATTTTTTCCTTGAGACACAAATAATTTCATAATTAGAATTTTTTTGTTGTATAAGCTATATAAAATCAATTTTCATATAACACGTGATATCATTTTATGTTCAAGAAAATTGGGGAAATTAGTTTAAATTTGTCAAATTAATTGGATAAACAATTTTTAGTCAATGCATCAAATAATTAGCATTGAAGTTCAATAGTTATCGCATTATCGCTCGAGAATAACTAAATTTCATCATAACTCTACAAATTACAAAATGAAAAACACACCAAGGACTTTAGACTCGATATGTAGGGTTTATGGAAATTATATTCTTTCCCATTATACTATGACCCCTATTTTAATTATAGGATTGACTTCAGTCTCATTAAACTTGGTCTTGTGCAAATTGTTAAATTTTGGACAAATAATCTACAAAACTACATTGAATGATTAAGAGTATAAAGTACTCTAATCAATAATAGATGGATAAGAAAAAATCAAGATCATAGTTTAAAAGAAATTATAATTTAGAGAACATTGGAGGGCCATGAATAATGAATGTCAAAAACATAATTTTATTGGTAAAAATCATAAATTTGAAAATTTGAGAGGGATTAACATAACTAGAATGGTTTGAATTTGAAGGGGGGGGGGAGTCGAATCATAGACGTACATGTTTTTTAAGTATGTTTGCTAAAAAAATTTATCTCATAATTGTTTGAGGATAACTAATTTTACGTCACAGCTAGAGTCTAGTCAATTTTTGCGATTTAAACCCTTAATATTTAAATTATAACAAAACAACCATATTCAAAATCACCCCAAGATCTTACATAAATATATAAAAACGAAATTTTTAACTGATGTAACTTGTAAGGATGAGCAATAGAAAAAACCATAGAGATACAGATTTTATTTGATGGTGGTAGTAGCAATGACACAATGGTGGTGAGAATATATTTGTCTATTTTGAAAAATTGATAAAATTTTTACTGACTAACATTTTCAGCATTAAGTGATAAGTAGATGGTTTATTATTTAAAATTTTAGCCTATTTTTAAGAAATGCTTAAAATATTAGGTAATGTGAATTTTAGGTTATCAAACGGATTTAATTTATTCAATGTTTAAAGTATTCAGTTTTGATGGACTTCCAGTGTATCTATTTTTTGTAGTGAATTAAGTCATCAAATTATATAGTATTACTCAAATCAAGTAAATCTATTTCGAATCCTAAAATTGATATATTTTTAAAATAAGATAAAACTAATGTCAAATTAACGTGTTGTACGAAATTTATATCTCCATCTATTCTAATATTTTTATAGTAATGTTATACTTACCAAGTTTTTTATCTAATATTTGTTGAATTGTTGAATCCAGTGTATCATCATATTTTCTTTCAAACATTTACTAACGATTTTTTTGATTCAACGCCACATCTATTAACCACAAGGGGTTAGTCTAGTGGTTCAAGGGTTATTTGGTAAGTACCTTAACTTGGTATTAATCAAGGGTTCGAAACTTACTAGGTGCAAACATTCATTGGGCCCACTGGTTCTAGATTTACCCCCTATGGTTGGATAGCCAACTTTGCGTGTGGGTCCAGCATTATTCCGACCCGAAAGGGTTGGGATAGCTGGAATTTTCGAAAAAAAACAACGGTACATCTATCAAATTTTATATTTCAAATTAATGAGATTCATAGAATCAATAAGTTCCACAAGCTTTCATTAATTATCAAATAGCTCTCAATTTGTTATATCATTTAGAATGTATAATTTTGTAAAAGAGTTGATGAATGTAGCATTTTTCTTTTGGGTCCCACAAAAAATAATGGTCCAACCTTTTAAACTCCCTTAAAGTTTCATTTTTCATTGCTAGTATTATTTTCGGACGATAAAATTGTNACTATTTTTAAGAAATGCTTAAAATATTAGGTAATATGAATTTTAGGTTATCAAACGGATTTAATTTATTCAATGTTTAAAGTATTCAGTTTTGATTGACTTCCAGTGTATCTATTTTTTGTAGTGAATTAAGTCATCAAATTATATAGTATTACTCAAATCAAGTAAATCTATTTCGAATCCTAAAATTGATATATTTTTAAAATAAGATAAAACTAATGTCAAATTAACGTGTTGTACGAAATTTATATCTCCATCTATTCTAATATTTTTATAGTAATGTTATACTTACCAAGTTTTTTATCTAATATTTGTTGAATTGTTGAATCCAGTGTATCATCATATTTTCTTTCAAACATTTACTAACGATTTTTTTTATTCAACGCCACATCTATTAACCACAAGGGATTAGTCTAGTGGTTCAAGGGTTATTTGGTAAGTACCTTAACTTGGTATTAATCAAGGGTTCGAAACTTACTAGGTGCAAACATTCATTGGGCCCACTGGTTCTAGATTTACCCCCTATGGTTGGATAGCCAACTTTGCGTGTGGGTCCAGCATTATTCCGACCCGAAAGGGTTGGGATAGCTGGAATTTTCGAAAAAAAACAACGGTACATCTATCAAATTTTATATTTCAAATTAATGAGATTCATAGAATCAATAAGTTCCACAAGCTTTCATTAATTATCAAATAGCTCTCAATTTGTTATATCATTTAGAATGTATAATTTTGTAAAAGAGTTGATGAATGTAGCATTTTTCTTTTGGGTCCCACAAAAAATAATGGTCCAACCTTTTAAACTCCCTTAAAGTTTCATTTTTCATTGCTAGTATTATTTTCGGACGATAAAATTGTGATATAATTTCCAATTAGTTGTGATAAGAATTGATTCAAAATATTAAATAAATTTTAGCATTTTCGATTTCTATCATTGTGTTAGAAGTTTTGCTAAGGGCTCTACCTTCAACTTTTTATTATATTTCATTCATAGTAATAAACTTGGTTATTTAAAATAAGATTTTTATTATGACTAAATTTATAAATTCAAATTTAGCGGTCTAAATAATGGGTAATCTTCTGCTCAACAAATAAGGAGGCCCAAAGACATCTAATTGGTGTATAACTTCGTCACTTCATTTGGATTGCTAAAATTTGTTCATAAATTTAATCAATTTAGCATTGTGGTATTTGAAAAGAAATGTAGTTTCATAATTTTTAGTGAATTTTGATAATTCCTTAGAATTAAATAATTAGAAATTTATCACTGACGAATATATTTGACCCGTTGTTGATGACATGCATTTAACCGAACGTGAAGAAAATTTAATCAAGATGTGTGCAAATTAATTCAAATATTTTGATCATTAAAAATAAATAAATAAATAAATAATTGAGACATAAATGAGCAACCCAAAAAATATTTTGTTTTTGACTTGAAACTATAGTCGTAAGTTTTAAGTTTCAAGCTTATCCAAAAAAATAAAAAATAAAAAATAAAATATAAAGACGCCGAAGGTAATACGTGTAAAATTGAGAGCTTCGAACATTGANCTGGTTCTAGATTTACCCCCTATGGTTGGATAGCCAACTTTGCGTGTGGGTCCAGCATTATTCCGACCCGAAAGGGTTGGGATAGCTGGAATTTTCGAAAAAAAACAACGGTACATCTATCAAATTTTATATTTCAAATTAATGAGATTCATANACTGTGAAAACAGTCTATCTCTCTCTTTGAGGGGTTAGATTTTGTATATTTGACGGGTCTAAAATTTTTTCCTTGAGACACAAATAATTTCATAATTAGAATTTTTTTGTTGTATAAGCTATATAAAATCAATTTTNATTACCTTCTGCTCTTCAGAGCGAGAGGCGCCGGATTCCAATCGCCTTCTCTCTCCGTCAACTCTCTCTCTGTCTCTCTCCGGTATTGTTGATAGGTAACTATGGCGTCTGCGAAAGATTCAGACCCAATGCTAGGGTACCTAACCCGAAAAGAAACAGAGGTAAAGCTCCCACGTCCGACTAGGGTTAAGAACAAAACCCCAGCTTCAATCCAAATCACCGCTGAACAAATCCTCCGCGAAGCTCGAGAGCGTCAAGAGGCCGAAATCAGACCTCCTAAACAGAAAATCACTGATTCCACTGAGCTCGCTGATTACAGGCTTCGCAAGCGCAAAGAATTCGAAGACCTAATCCGCCGAATCCGATGGAACAAGAGCGTTTGGATCAAATACGCCAAGTGGGAAGAGTCCCANCAAGATTTTTATTATGACTAAATTTATAAATTCAAATTTAGTGGTCTAAATAATGGGTAATCTTCTGCTCAACAAATAAGGAGGAGGCCCAAAGACATCTAATTGGTATATAACTTTGTCACTTCATTTGGATTGCTAAAATTTGTTTATAAATTTAATCAATTTAGCATTGTGGTATTTGAAAAGAAATGTAGTTTCATAATTTTTAGTGAATTTTGATAATTTCTTGGAATTAAATAATTAGGGATTTATCACTGACGAATATATTTGACCCGTTGTTGATGGCATGCATTTAACCGAACGTGAAGAAAATTTAATCAAGATGTGTGCAAATTAATTCAAATATTTTGATCATTAAAAAAAATAATAATAAATAATTGAGACATAAATGAGCAACCCAAAAAAATATTTTGTTTTTGACTTGAAACTATAGTTTTAAGTTTTAAGTTTCAAGCTTATCCAAAAAAATAAAAAATAAAATATAAAATATAAAATATAAAGACGCCGAAGGTAATACGTGTAAAATTGAGAGCTTCGAACATTGAAACAATAATTCACAATACTAAAACCCTCCTGTTACCTTCTGCTCTTCAGAGCGAGAGGCGCCGGATTCCAATCGCCTTCTCTCTCCGTCATCTCTCTCTCTCTCTCTCTCTCTCGTATACATCTACCGGTATTGTTGATAGGTAACTATGGCGTCTGCGAAAGATTCAGACCCAATGCTAGGGTACCTAACCCGAAAAGAAACAGAGGTAAAGCTCCCACGTCCGACTAGGGTTAAGAACAAAACCCCAGCTTCAATCCAAATCACCGCTGAACAAATCCTCCGCGAAGCTCGAGAGCGTCAAGAGGCCGAAATCAGACCTCCTAAACAGAAAATCACTGATTCCACTGAGCTCGCTGATTACAGGCTTCGCAAGCGCAAAGAATTCGAAGACCTAATCCGCCGAATCCGATGGAACAAGAGCGTTTGGATCAAATACGCCAAGTGGGAAGAGTCCCAAAAAGATTTCAATCGAGCCCGATCTGTTTGGGAACGTGCCCTAGAAGTCGATTACCGTGACCACACTACGTGGTTGAAGTATGCAGATTTTGAGATGAAGAATAAATCCATTAATCATGCGAGAAACGTCTGGGATCGCGCGGTCACATTGTTGCCTAGGGTGGATCAGTTGTGGTATAAGTACATTCATATGGAGGAGATGCTGGGGAATGTCGCTGGTGCGCGACAAATTTATGAACGGTGGATGGGTTGGGTCCCTGATCAGCAAGGTTGGCTTTCATACATAAAATTTGAGCTTCGTTATAATGAAATTGAAAGGGCCCGAGCGATATATGAAAGATTTCTGACTGAACACCCGAAAGTGAGTGCTTGGATTCGGTACGCAAAGTTTGAGGTGAAGAATGGGGAGATTGATAGAGCGAGACAATGCTACGAGAGGGCAGTGGATAAGCTTGCGGATGATGATGAGGCGGAGCACTTGTTTGTGGCATTTGCGGAGTTTGAAGAAAGGTGTAAGGAGACCGAGAGAGCGAGAGCAATATATAAGTTTGCACTTGATCATATCCCTAAGGGACGTGCCGAGGATTTGTATAGGAAGTTTGTGGCATTTGAGAAGCAGTATGGTGATAAGGAAGGGATAGAGGATGCTATTGTTGGGAAAAGGAGGTTTCAATATGAGGATGAGGTTCGGAAGAACCCACTTAATTATGATGCTTGGTTTGATTATATTAGATTGGAAGAGAGTGTGGGGAATAAAGAAAGGACTAGAGAGGTTTACGAGAGATCCATTGCCAATGTACCTCCGGCTGAAGAGAAGCGCTATTGGCAGCGATATATATACTTGTGGTAAGTTTTCTGTTATTACTGAATATTGGTTGTTGCTAAATGGTGTTTTGCATGCTGATGATGTTTTGGGGATTTACATGTTGCTGAATAGTGTAATTTGTCTATCCTTCAGGATCAATTATGCTTTGTACGAAGAACTTGATGCGCAGGACATGGAGCNGTACGCAAAGTTTGAGGTGAAGAATGGGGAGATTGATAGAGCGAGACAATGCTATGAGAGGGCAGTGGATAAGCTTGCGGATGATGATGAGGCGGAGCAGTTGTTTGTGGCATTTGCGGAGTTTGAAGAAAGGTGTAAGGAGACCGAGAGAGCGAGAGCAATATATAAGTTTGCACTTGATCATATCCCTAAGGGACGTGCCGAGGATTTGTATAGGAAGTTTGTGGCATTTGAGAAGCAGTATGGTGATAAGGAAGGGATAGAGGATGCTATTGTTGGGAAAAGGAGGTTTCAATATGAGGATGAGGTTCGGAAGAACCCACTTAATTATGATGCTTGGTTTGATTATATTAGATTGGAAGAGAGTGTGGGGAATAAAGAAAGGACTAGAGAGGTTTACGAGAGATCCATTGCCAATGTACCTCCGGCTGAAGAGAAGCGCTATTGGCAGCGATATATATACTTGTGGTAAGTTTTCTGTTATTACTGAATATTGGTTGTTGCTAAATGGTGTTTTGCATGCTGATGATGTTTTGGGGATTTACATGTTGCTGAATAGTGTAATTTGTCTATCCTTCAGGATCAATTATGCTTTGTACGAAGAACTTGATGCGCAGGACATGGAGCGGACTAGAGATGTGTATAGGTATATGTCATACACTATTTGATATTCATCTATTCCTAGTGAGCTTTTTAAATATAGGGGTAGGATTGGAAAATGAGGCATTTGTGTGTGTGTTTTTTGGGTGGGTGCATTTTTTTTTTTGGGGGGGGGTGTTGTTAGCTGCTGTTACAGCACTTGGAAATGCAGTCCATGCTGTTGATGCTCGCTCATATGGGCTATATGACGGCTTTAGGCTTCCACATGTTGTCAAAAAGTAGGATGATACATTAACCTTGGTTGGGAACTCGCTCAGACTACGAGTTCCTAAGGAATTGTATCATTGTGAGGCCTTGTTTGGATGGCAGTGACCTTGATTGGGAATAAGATTCTCATTTCTAAATCATATATTATCTTGTTTGGATTGTTAACCACTCAGTAATTCAAGTTGGGAATAATATTACTACCATAACCAAATTCCCAATTAGGGTGGGTATCTTAAACTCCTGGTCAATGGTGGTAATCTCGTACTTGCGTATATTGATTGAGTATTCTAAAGAAGGAATAAAAATCTCAAAATGAAACTCTTTCCTAAAATTAATTTAATTCTTTCTTCTTACAATCAATCTCCTTTCTAAAATTAAGTTCTTTACCAAAAAAAATAAAATAAAATGATATTAATTCTCACACTAGATTACTGAAAATAATCAGACACTAATATGAGACTACTATTTTAATTGAAATTCGGGTATCTCATTACTAGGAACAAGATACATATTTCTTATTAAGATTATTGTCATCCGAATGTGGCCCAAGGTTTTTTTCTAGTCTACCTAAATGTTGAAACGACGGGTTGTTATGCTATAACCTATGGAAATCGATATTAGGTCAACAGTGGTCAAAACGTACTGAACTTTAGCCAGTTATCTTGTGAACTCAGAAATCAACTATTGGTATTCTCATGATATTTTATTGTTGTTGAGATTCGTCTTCCATAAGCGAATGTTGATTTTAATTTCCTCCAGCCACTTTTCGTGTCATTTTTCTGTATGAGAGTATGACACATTTCACATGAGTGGATAGGTCCTCCACTCTTGAAGAATTTTCTCATTTACTTTTTCAATTTGGCCAGGGAATGTCTCAAGCTGATTCCCCATGAGAAATTTTCTTTTGCAAAAATTTGGTTGTTGGCTGCCCAGTTCGAGATAAGGCAATTAAATCTCAAGGGTGCACGACTTATCCTTGGAAATGCAATTGGAAAGGCTCCTAAAGATAAGGTATTATACCCGCTCTTAAATGAGCAGAAAGTTTGTTTCCCCCTTTATACCTCTAAATCAGAAGTTTGATTGGTTTTTATGCCTATTTGAACAAACAGATATTTAAGAAGTACATAGAAATAGAGCTGCAACTTGGTAACATAGACCGTTGCCGAACGCTCTATGAGAAATATTTGCAGTGGTCACCAGAAAACTGCTATGCATGGAGCAAGTTTGCTGAGTTGGAAAAATCTTTGTCTGAAACTGAGCGAGCCAGAGCTATTTTTGAGCTTGCAATTGACCAACCTGCATTGGACATGCCAGAATTATTGTGGAAGGTACTTGCGTGCTAATTTATAACCTCTGTCTAATATAGTCTGCTCTGCTGCTGTGGCTTTATTTGATAGTAATTTATTGATTGGATATATAGGTCATGTGCTCTAAATTATCCTTTAACCTAGTCTTCCCTCTTTAATCAAGTTAGAGTTGACCTTAGTTGCATGCTTGGAAATGTCTGACAATTTAATAAAAGATAATTTGAGGCACTGTTTGTCATAATGATTGATGCCTTTTGGTGTTTTATGTGGCCTTGCCTTGTTAATTTTTTTTTTGCCCAAATTTCCCGCACCCTCCGAAAATAATTCTTTTCTTTTATTTTTTTCCCTCTTTGAAACTCAAAGGAAACGGGGGTGCGAAATGCTGGCTTGTTAGTTTAGTAGTTATGCTCCTTTGATGATAAGGTGCAGTGTGCATTGTTCAGGGTTGTGGTATTGGGCATCAACTCGAATGGCATTAGCACAAATTGGTCACGACTTCATGGAATGACACCGGATGATATGCATGAAATGCATCATATATGTTATATTTTTTAAGCAACAAAATATACGTACATATAAGTTAAAATAGATGTATCCTAACCGTTATCCTTATCGTATTGTATTGTATTCCTAGCCCATCCGGATTTGTGCTTCCTAGTTATCGTTTACACAGAACATGGAATAGTATATGGACAAAACATGCTGGGTTGGATTCAAATTGACTGAATAGTATAGGCTGATACTTTGAACCATTGTATGAAAGGAACAAATGGATTAAAAATTCTCCTCTTTGGTTGTTGGGGATAGGCAAAAGAAATAAAACAAGCTACAGCAGAACCAGAATGAACTTGGGGCATTTCTGTCTCTATCTTTTTGGAGGAAGTAATCTATGAATTGTCTCTGTGTGGGCATCCTACATGTTTTTTGTACAAGTATAATTTGCTTATGGGGCCTATAATTTGTATATTTAGCATCTGCACAATTTGGTTCATAGTTGGTTTTTAGGATCTCCAAATTTTCAATTTGGAATTCTGTGATTAGCTATTCATTTCCATTTTTTAAGGGAAATATTACAGCAATACTAATATATTTTGTCTATATTTCTTAATTTAAGGGGCTCAATCTATGTGCTGATTGTATCTTCTATTCACTGCTTACGACTTGGGAACTCTAGGGTAAATTAAAAGCATCCAAGCAAGAGTAGCTGGGTAAAATGGTGACAGTTAAAACTGAAGCAATAGAAATGGATGGAAAATGTTTTGATGATGCCATAGAGACATTTACGATATTCAAGAAAGAACTTATGAACTGTAGCGTAGAATTCAGAAAGTCATTATTCTGTTAGAAGCCTTTTTATCACTATCCTTCAGAATTTCCCTTCTGAACTTTTCCACCCAAAAACGTTTACTGGTTCACAAGCCACAACACCCCCCCAACAACATATGCCCCCCTTTTTCCTCTTTACTTATGGTGTCCGATCGAGCAGTATGCGATTTAAAAATAAAGGTGAAACAAGGGGCGTGTCGGATTTGGATTGGAAATTTTTATTGTGTTGACTTTTTTGTGTAGCATTGAAGTATCCCAGTTACTGGGTTTGATAATAACATTTCAATTCTCTCATGGCAGGCCTACATTGACTTTGAGATATCAGAGAATGAATTTGAAAGAACAAGAACGCTGTATGAGAGGCTTCTGGACCGGACAAAACATTTGAAGGTCTGGATTAGTTATGCAAAGTTTGAAGCATCTGCTGTGGAAGAGAATGGCCAGGGTTCAGACTTGCCAGAAGATGATGTTCAAGAATATATTCACGAACAACAAGAGCAGTGCATTCAGCGTGCCAGAAGTAATATATCTAATCATGTTTACTTTTGTTATTGTTAGCAGTATTATTATATATATTCTTTATCTTCATGACCATTATTGTTCGCAATTTTGCCCCTGTAAAATTAAACTCTTGCTTCCTTTGTGCATCAGGGGTTTTTGAGAGAGCCCTTAACTACTACAGAACATCTGCACCTGATCTGAAAGAGGAAAGAGCAATGCTTTTGGAAGAGTGGTTTAACATGGAAAACAATTNAATGATATTAATTCTCACACTAGATTACTGAAAATAATCAGACACTAATATGAGACTACTATTTTAATTGAAATTTGGGTATCTCATTACTAGGAACAAGATACATATTTCTTATTAAGATTATTGTCATCCGNTATGATATTAATTCTCACACTAGATTACTGAAAATAATCAGACACTAATATGAGACTACTATTTTAATTGAAATTCGGGTATCTCATTACTAGGAACAAGATACATATTTCTTATTAAGATTATTGTCATCCGAATGTGGCCCAAGGTTTTTTTCTAGTCTACCTAAATGTTGAAACGACGGGTTGTTATGCTATAACCTATGGAAATCGATATTAGGTCAACAGTGGTCAAAACGTACTGAACTTTAGCCAGTTATCTTGTGAACTCAGAAATCAACTATTGGTATTCTCATGATATTTTATTGTTGTTGAGATTCGTCTTCCATAAGCGAATGTTGATTTTAATTTCCTCCAGCCACTTTTCGTGTCATTTTTCTGTATGAGAGTATGACACATTTCACATGAGTGGATAGGTCCTCCACTCTTGAAGAATTTTCTCATTTACTTTTTCAATTTGGCCAGGGAATGTCTCAAGCTGATTCCCCATGAGAAATTTTCTTTTGCAAAAATTTGGTTGTTGGCTGCCCAGTTCGAGATAAGGCAATTAAATCTCAAGGGTGCACGACTTATCCTTGGAAATGCAATTGGAAAGGCTCCTAAAGATAAGGTATTATACCCGCTCTTAAATGAGCAGAAAGTTTGTTTCCCCCTTTATACCTCTAAATCAGAAGTTTGATTGGTTTTTATGCCTATTTGAACAAACAGATATTTAAGAAGTACATAGAAATAGAGCTGCAACTTGGTAACATAGACCGTTGCCGAACGCTCTATGAGAAATATTTGCAGTGGTCACCAGAAAACTGCTATGCATGGAGCAAGTTTGCTGAGTTGGAAAAATCTTTGTCTGAAACTGAGCGAGCCAGAGCTATTTTTGAGCTTGCAATTGACCAACCTGCATTGGACATGCCAGAATTATTGTGGAAGGTACTTGCGTGCTAATTTATAACCTCTGTCTAATATAGTCTGCTCTGCTGCTGTGGCTTTATTTGATAGTAATTTATTGATTGGATATATAGGTCATGTGCTCTAAATTATCCTTTAACCTAGTCTTCCCTCTTTAATCAAGTTAGAGTTGACCTTAGTTGCATGCTTGGAAATGTCTGACAATTTAATAAAAGATAATTTGAGGCACTGTTTGTCATAATGATTGATGCCTTTTGGTGTTTTATGTGGCCTTGCCTTGTTAATTTTTTTTTTGCCCAAATTTCCCGCACCCTCCGAAAATAATTCTTTTCTTTTATTTTTTTCCCTCTTTGAAACTCAAAGGAAACGAGGGTGCGAAATGCTGGCTTGTTAGTTTAGTAGTTATGCTCCTTTGATGATAAGGTGCAGTGTGCATTGTTCAGGGTTGTGGTATTGGGCATCAACTCGAATGGCATTAGCACAAATTGGTCACGACTTCATGGAATGACACTGGATGATATGCATGAAATGCATCATATATGATATATTTTTTAAGCAACAAAATATACGTACATATAAGTTAAAATAGATGTATCCTAACCGTTATCCTTATCGTATTGTATTGTATTCCTAGCCCATCCGGATTTGTGCTTCCTAGTTATCGTTTACANGTGGAAGAGAATGGCCAGGGTTCAGACTTGCCAGAAGATGATGTTCAAGAATATATTCGCGAACAACAAGAGCAGTGCATTCAGCGTGCCAGAAGTAATATATCTAATCATGTTTANCGGATTTGTGCTTCCTAGTTATCGTTTACACAGAACATGGAATAGTATATGGACAAAACATGCCGGGTTGGATTCAAATTGACTGAATAGTATAGGCTGATACTTTGAACCATTGTATGAAAAGAACAAATGGATTAAAAATTCTCCTCTTTGGTTGTTGGGGATAGGCAAAAGAAATAAAACAAGCTACAGNTGGATTTGTGCTTCCTAGTTATCGTTTACACAGAACATGGAATAGTATATGGACAAAACATGCTGGGTTGGATTCAAATTGACTGAATAGTATAGGCTGATACTTTGAACCATTGTATGAAAGGAACAAATGGATTAAAAATTCTCCTCTTTGGTTGTTGGGGATAGGCAAAAGAAATAAAACAAGCTACAGCAGAACCAGAATGAACTTGGGGCATTTCTGTCTCTATCTTTTTGGAGGAAGTAATCTATGAATTGTCTCTGTGTGGGCATCCTACATGCTTTTTGTACAAGTATAATTTGTTTATGGGACCTATAATTTGTATATTTTGCATCTGCACAATTTGGTTCATAGTTGGTTTTTAGGATCTCCAAATTTTCAATTTGGAATTCTGTGATTAGCTATTCATTTTCCATTTTTTAAGGGAAATATTACAGCAATACTAATATATTTTGTCTATATTTCTTAATTTAAGGGGCTCAATCTTTGTGCTGATTATATTTTCTATTCACTGCTTACGACTTGGGAACTCTAGGGTAAATTAAAAGCATCCAAGCAANTGGAGGAAGTAATCTATGAATTGTCTCTGTGTGGGCATCCTACATGTTTTTTGTACAAGTATAATTTGCTTATGGGGCCTATAATTTGTATATTTAGCATCTGCACAATTTGGTTCATAGTTGGTTTTTAGGATCTCCAAATTTTCAATTTGGAATTCTGTGATTAGCTATTCATTTCCATTTTTTAAGGGAAATATTACAGCAATACTAATATATTTTGTCTATATTTCTTAATTTAAGGGGCTCAATCTATGTGCTGATTGTATCTTCTATTCACTGCTTACGACTTGGGAACTCTAGGGTAAATTAAAAGCATCCAAGCAAGAGTAGCTGGGTAAAATGGTGACAGTTAAAACTGAAGCAATAGAAATGGATGGAAAATGTTTTGATGATGCCATAGAGACATTTACGATATTCAAGAAAGAACTTATGAACTGTAGCGTAGAATTCAGAAAGTCATTATTCTGTTAGAAGCCTTTTTATCACTATCCTTCAGAATTTCCCTTCTGAACTTTTCCACCCAAAAACGTTTACTGGTTCACAAGCCACAACACCCCCCCAACAACATATGCCCCCCTTTTTCCTCTTTACTTATGGTGTCCGATCGAGCAGTATGCGATTTAAAAATAAAGGTGAAACAAGGGGCGTGTCGGATTTGGATTGGAAATTTTTATTGTGTTGACTTTTTTGTGTAGCATTGAAGTATCCCAGTTACTGGGTTTGATAATAACATTTCAATTCTCTCATGGCAGGCCTACATTGACTTTGAGATATCAGAGAATGAATTTGAAAGAACAAGAACGCTGTATGAGAGGCTTCTGGACCGGACAAAACATTTGAAGGTCTGGATTAGTTATGCAAAGTTTGAAGCATCTGCTGTGGAAGAGAATGGCCAGGGTTCAGACTTGCCAGAAGATGATGTTCAAGAATATATTCGCGAACAACAAGAGCAGTGCATTCAGCGTGCCAGAAGTAATATATCTAATCATGTTTACTTTTGTTATTGTTAGCAGTATTATTATATATATTCTTTATCTTCATGACCATTATTGTTCGCAATTTTGCCCCTGTAAAATTAAACTCTTGCTTCCTTTGTGCATCAGGGGTTTTTGAGAGAGCCCTTAACTACTACAGAACATCTGCACCTGATCTGAAAGAGGAAAGAGCAATGCTTTTGGAAGAGTGGTTTAACATGGAAAACAATTTTGGTGATCTTGGTGATGTGAGTTTGGTCCGTGTTAAGCTTCCCAAGAAACTTAAAAAGAGACGGCAAATGGAGGCTGAGGATGGTCCAATTGGGTATGTCATCAACTTCATGTTTTTATCTTCTTCAGATTGGAGGTTTTCATGTTTTGCACCAATTGCAAACTTGTCCAGCATAACTACTCCCATTATCTTTTGACCTTTTGGCTCTCTAGACTTTCACTTTTCTAGCCTTATGTCCACAAGCTTGTTCATATAACCCGCTTTTTGTGTTACACTCAACCATACTAGTTTTCATTCACTTTTTTGTTCATGCTATTTTTTTAAAAAAAATTGCAGGTATGAGGAGTATATAGATTACCTCTTCCCTGAGGAAACCCAGACTACAAATCTCAAGATTTTGGAAGCTGCATACAAGTGGAAGAAGCAGAAGATTGTTTCTGATGAGGATTAGCAGGGTTTGCCCCATATGTATTGTTAGTTAAGTGGTGTGTAGATACTGCTAGGTGTTATTGTATCCCTTTTCATCAAGGCTGGCTGAAAGGGAGGGACATGAGAACTCCCTCTGTCACACATTTTTAGCACTGCTCTTTGCTTGTGTAGTTTTGTTTTTTATTTTCTATTTTTTCCCCGTGACTATATATGCATGCCTTTGATAAAAAAAAAATGGCAAATGGCAAGGCTATATTACATTCATTCTCTCAAAGTAATCCTTCAGTATGTGTTATCCCCTGTCAAGCACAAGTGTCACTTTATGTCTGGAGGTAATAGTGAGAGTCGAATTCAAAACATTCAAATTTATTATTCATTTGGCGCTTTGTCTCATTGCCGACGGGTGCATCACAGTCTTTGTTTCTGTGCGAATCTCTTCATTCCTATGTTGAGATGTAGTTCTATTTTACTTGGGTTGCTACTTAATTGTTGGCCTCTTTTGTGCTTGGACATAACACTTCTCTTATGTGCCCAAGTTTTCTTAGCTCTGTCTATTAATTTTCATTATAAGTCGTAGGATTATACCATTCTTAGATTGATATCTCTTATACCTGCGTTTAGCCCTTCCCATACATCTATTGCTGTTCAAACAGTCTATTGCTGATCAAACATTTTCTGTTTGCCCGCGTCCAAGTAGTTATAGCTAAAGTCTATGTTGAGAATTCACTTTGTTTTTTATGCCTAATAAATAGGTTTATCAACGGATCCGATTTGAATTGGATTCTGTTGAATTTGATTTGATAATTTGATAGATTTTATTTTTTGTGGTTTATATTCAAATTCGTTAACAATTTAAAATTTGATTTAGTTTGAATAATTAAATTTTAACTATTTTTTAAAAAATAATTACTTAATTTTTGTTGTATTTTTATAAAAATATTTTAAATTAGATCATAATTATATTAGATATAGGTATAATCAAAGCTGAATTCGAGAAATCTAAGATATGGAATTCGAAGAATTTGAATAATTGATAAAAAAAAAAATTAATCTGTATACAAATTTAGATTGCGATCAAAATTGGATGAATTGATAAGTCTTTCAAATGTATCTCACTACTCGAATTTTGACACGTGCATTGAGATGGTCCACCACACATTCAATCTGGATGACGTGGCAGTGGACTGACCAACCATTGAGAGAGATGACACTTGGTCCCATGAATGTCCACGTGATGTGACCTTGGTGGCCTTTTTTGTTTTACCGACGACGAGGACCACCCATTGCTACGGTACGATTTATGTTGATATGCCTGCGAACTTAGACCACAACAATGTAATTTTTTTTAATCAGCTGATGACTTTTGAAATGTAATGAAATCTTTAGGCCATTAAAGCTTTCGGTTGTTACTGCTAAGAAAACAAAAAAAATAAAGAAATGGCAATCAATGCCTCGTAGTATACCCTTATCTATCATTGAATTTCATTTATAAAAAAACAAAAGAAATTCAACAAAAACAACATCATATAATTAATTGTTTAAAACTACTATGAAAATAATAGAAAATATGTTTGTATAGTCATTTTATTTGCCTAATCCTATTATAATTTTTGTACGATTGCATCGCGTTAGGGTGAACAAAATGTGTAGACTTTTATTAGTTAATTTACATTGTTGATTAAAAATAACTAAAATACTATGTTGACCAAATTTTTTGACAGATGGCATCATGCAGTTGAATTAGATAATAAATAAGGATATAGGACAAGAAAACAAATTAAACATTTAAACTTTTATAATATTGCACATTTTAACATTTTTACCCGTTATTCTCAACTATATCAAATTTTCTTCGACTATAATATTGTGTATATTAACATTTTTACTAAATATTGAATATTAAACATTGTGGCATATTAATAGTTATTGAATAATTAGTGAAAGTCACAAAGATCCGCTAATTTAGCTACTCTCATTTGACAACAAATATTTTGGGGAAAAGTTATAGTAATAATAAAATTATTGTTTCCTTCAATTCATTTTATATTGCCTATTAAATGTTAATAAATAATATTAAAAATAATTTAGCTAGATCTTTTTTATGAATAAAATATATTTTTAGTCCCTCAAATTAGTTTCGTCTCTAATTTTTTAATTATATCAATTTGATCTAACCAAAATTACTGTTTGAATTGTAATGGAGAGGTTCAAGCGACCATGCTTGAGGCATCACTTTGGTTTCTCAAATTTGAAACTTGTATTATTTTATTCCTTTAAATTTATAGTTTGTGTCACTTTAATCTCTAAAATTTTTGAAAAATACGTGTCGAATGTAATCACATAAGATGCACGCGAGGATCTTTGTTAGTAATTTTAATTGTCATTTTTTTATTGGACAGTGACATAAATTGAGAAGTTTAGGGGTCAAATTAATACAATTAAAAGATTGGGGATCAAATTGATATAAAATATATAATTTGGGGACCAAAAATATTTTTTTACCCATTTTTTATTCATCCAATTCGATTTTTTCAGAAATCTTATAGAAATAACAAAGTGTAGTAAGAAAGATATTTAATCTTGGAGGTCCGAGGACATGTTTTGCCCTTTCAAGTAAGTACGATAATTCTCTCGTTCTCGCGCTCTCTTTTTATCCAATCTATCTGTCTATCTATCTATCTATCTGATTCTGAGTTGCTTAAGACTAGGGTTTTTGCTTTTTCCATGGCTCACAAAATTTCCCACTATTTTACTGTTCTCTTTGTTTTCAGGGGACTTGTAAACAGTGTTATCGTCTTCAATTTCTTCTCTGGGAGCCCCAATTAGGTACCATAATTTCTGATTTAAGTTTGTTCAAGAGTTTCAATCTACTGGTTTGAATTCTGTTTGGTGGAACTGTTGTTTTACCTGTTTGTTTGCTCCGCAATAATTGAAAAAATATTGGAGTTCGAGTCTTTGATTTTCAGTTGTACGAAAAGTTTACTGAACTGAGAACCGTACGATTAATTGGTAATTTGGACATTCTTGTATTGAATGTATATATTGTGTATGCATCTGTGTATCTCGAACCCTCAGGGGTGCTTGGGGCTGTGGGCCTGGGCATTTTAGGCCTGTTTCTATGCATGCATATGGGGGTTGATATTAAGATTATGCTGTAATTTCTGTTAGCTTATTCATTAATTGTAGATGTTACCAGCCATTAATCATGTCTTCGGTCTTCCTCTCTGATGTTTGTGCGTGAGTGTCTATTTTCTGTATATTGTACACGTTCTTGTTTGATTTGCTCTTTTAAAATGCCTGAATATGAGGGTGTTTTTGTTGCAGCTTCAATGCTAATAATTGATTTATGTACTAATTCAATGCTGATAATTGATTTATGTACTTACATTCCACAGCCGTTGAATTCTACCATAAAATTCAACGTTTTCGTAGTTTGGTAACGTTTTCGTGTCTTCAAAACAATCAAAAACAGAGACAATTTTTGTCTTTGTTTTGTGATAAACACTGAAACAAAAAACATGTTTGAGTGTCATTTTTGTCTATCACATTATGAGAATAAAAAAAAAACCCTATTTGGTAACTATTTCACGTTTTATCGTAAATATGCTTTATAATATATCATACAACAAAATATAAATCCAAAAATTCCTTAAACCAAAACATTCACTAATTCATCAAAGAACACCTAAATAAAACAATTAGATTACATAAATCACTACTCACATTAATAGTATTAATCTATATTAATCCATCAAAGATCATCAAACTCATTCAATCTACTAATTAGTTTGTTAGCAAAAAAAAAAAAATTGGGACAAAATGGCAATTTAATAAATTCCAAATGGTAATTTAATCCCAAATAGCTATTCAATCAATCCTAAATTGCAATTCAATCAATCCCAAATTATAATTAATTTCCAAATGATAATTTATTCCGAAATGGTAATTCAATCAATCCTAAATCACAATTGAACAATTTCAAAAGACAATTCAATTGACAATTAATCCAAACACAACACATATACGCACAAAACATAATACACACAACACAACACAACACACACACACACATACTCATCTCTCTCTCACACCCAAACACACGCACACGCACATGCACAAATATGTGTAGATTTGTACAAATTTGTGCATCACACAACATAAAACACACACAAGCTCATCACTCACACACACACACACACACACAACACATACACACACAAACTCGTCACTCTCACACACGTGCACAGATCTTTATAAATATGCACAGATTTGTGCATATATGCACAAATCTGTGTCTTCGTTTGTAGGTTTCACAGATAGCAAGCAAGAGAGAGAGAGAGAGAGGGAGATAGGGTTTCAGTTCGTCTTCATTGGCAGAGTACCATCGGTTCGTCTTCGTCGTTGAGAGCTCCGGAGAAGAGAGAGTCGTTGAGAGCTCCGGAGAAGACAGAGGTGCTGAAAGTGGAGGAGAAGAGAGAGAGTCGATCTGTGTGGAGGAGAAGAGAAAAAAAAGACCCCCTATTTATACTTTGAGAAATGAATGAGTCTTTTATACCTTACAAGACTCGAAGTTGAGTCCTCATTTAATCAAGAAGCGCGTTTTTGTGTTTTGCGTGTTTCCTGAAACACAAATTTTTTGTTCCCATTTTTTTGTCTTTGTTTCCAAATAACTAATGTAAAACAAAAACAAAAACAATACCCAAACATATTTTTGTTTTTATTTTTGACAAAAATTGAAAACAAAAACAGAAAATACAAGACAAAGACAATAAACAAACAGCCCCTTAGTTTGGCATTGTTTTAGGCTTCTTTATTGTCTTTGTTAGTGATAATTGTTTGTAAATATTTTTATTTCTGACTAAGTTCAATTTCAGTGCAAATCAAGTTTTTGATTGAGTGAAGCTGATTCGGACAGTATGGATGGAGGTGTGGTTGATGAAGTGAATGCCGTGGATGGTGCACACCTCCAAAGTAAGGATAGCGAGTACTCATTGAAGTCCAGTAGCTCCAGTATGCTGGAATTGCGTCAGACGGTTATACCTGGTAAGGTTGACGATGGAAGGACGCCCCATGTGTTTGAAGGTGATTTAGATGGTAAGATTCTAGACATAATTAGTGTATCAGAACATTCCTGTGCTGGCCCTCCTTCCATGGATGATGCTGTAGAAGAATTAACACTCAGAAATTATGATAGTGGGAACTTAGCTATAGTTGGTGCTTCAACCAATAGAGATAGAATGCAGACTAAGCAGAATCCGTGGCAGCATTTGTATCAAATAGTAGGTGGATCGGGAGGCGGGAGCTCCTGTGGGAATACTGCTTATGGGGACACCGATCGAGCAGTATCCAGTGTTTGGGAGGATACGGGGAATACAGTTTTTCCAGAGCTATTGGGTGACAAACCACCAAATGACAATTCGCCAAGTAATGAAAATAAACCTTTATCAAGCAATACAGTATTATCTCCCAGAGGTATCAGAACAAAAATTCTGTCTAAATCTGGGTTTTCTGAGTACTTTGTTAAAAGTACATTGAAGGGGAAGGGGGTCATCTGTAGGGGCCCAGCTCGAGTAGCATCTTCTGTTGAGTTTGGGGCCCAGACTTATTCGAACGCTGCTGGTGACACTACAATACATTCTGATGCACCATTGAATTTGACTGCTGAGATTGTGGTGCCTCCTTCCCATAGTATTGCTGAGACTTCTCCCAACTTCTGCTCCAATGCTTTCCATAGTGGGGTCAGTTTGAGAGAGTGGCTGAAAGGTGGACAGAATAAGGGGAAGAAAGTCAAGAGTTTGTATATATTTAGGCAAATTGTGGGTATAGTGGATTTCTCTCATTCTCGAGGAATGTCCTTGCAAGATTTACGGCCATCCTGCTTCAAGTTGTCGCCATCGGATCAGGTTATTTACCTTGGTTCAATGGGTCAGAAAGGAATGGTGGAGAATGTTATGGCTCAAGGCATTCGCCAATCAGGAAGTGATAAAAATGAGACAGGGCCTTTAGAATGGGATATGTCTCCTGTTGTTAGTCAATGGGCAAAGAAACGGAAGTTTGAGGAGAACACGAACTTTGCTAGACAGTGGCTTCGGTTTCCATTAAGTTCTGGCATCAAATCCGCAACTTCAAATGATGTTAATGCCAAAATTGCTGCTCCACAAGTCTCTATGAGTAGATTTGACGATGGGAATAAACCTAGAACAGAATATAACACCCTGAAGAAGTCCACCAGCTCTAATGTTTCTAACACATCACAACCGTTGTCAATTTTCAGTGACCCAATTGAAGAGAAGTGGTATACTAGCCCTGAGGAGCTCAGTGAGAGGTGCTGTGCATTTTCATCAAATATCTACAGTCTGGGGGTTCTTCTGTTTGAGGTGCGAAAAGGGTTGTGCCCGAATTGTTTTGCTCATGCTAAATTGACAAATCATGTGATATGCTATAATTTTAATGGTGTAGTAAGTTTAAATATGATTTCATCCACCTCAATTTCCAGAGGCTAATGACATAAACATTCAAATTGATAATCATAATGAAACTTTAATCCAAATTCATACCATTTATCAGCTTATTTTTAATATTAGGAAAATTCTGGATTATTCTTCAATAGGAATCAGAGAAGTCATTTGAGTTTTCCTTCGGTTCTGGTCATTTATCAGCTTATTTTTAATATTAGGAAAATTCTGGATTATTCTTCAATAGGAATCGAGAAGTCATTTGAGTTTCCCCTCGGTTCTGGTTCTTCTTCAAGAACAGATTGAGTGGGCAACATTACTTTAGGGACTTATACGAGTTGTTTCTTTCAGTTACTTAGCTCTTTTGACTCTGCAAGGGCTCATGCTGTCGCGATGTTAGATCTGCATCATAGGATCCTTCCTCCAAATTTCCTGTCAGAAAATACCAAGGAAGCTGGATTTTGTCTTTGGCTGCTCCATCCTGAACCTGCATCACGGCCAACAACCAGGTAATACTAACCAGTTTCTACAATTACTCTCTTTCTCTCTCCTTCTTTCTTGATTCCCAGCGTCTCTCTATTGATAATGTTAGAAGAAATATTGTTTTAAAACTTTAAACAAGTACACTGTCTTGATTTTAAATATGTGTTCATATACTGAATCCCCCAGCCCTACCAAAAGAAATCATGGTGCGAGGCAACATTAGGTGAAGAAAAGAGAATGGTTTGAGATTTTCCCCACAATTTAGCGTATCCGATACGTGTCCTCAAATATCTGAAGAAGATCTCATCCGATACGGATATGACGACATAAACGAAGTTTCATGCTTTATAACTTAATGGTTTTAGTATGTTTTTACATTTTTGATCTCGATCCTACACTCTACCTTTCTCATAATAACAACATACTAATATCTGAATATTCATATTGGTATTTACACATATGTTCCTATTTACTTGGTTATTTTGTCTTTAATTTTAATTTACTTTTGTAATGATTATTTCAATATACTATAAATTCTACTTTAAAGTTCTTCATTGCTTTTTCTTTTGCAGCAATAGCTTTAGCCTTGAAATTTTGTTTGGAGATTTTCTTTTTGATTATGCACATACCAATTTTGGATCACCAAGTGTGACACATTATATTGATGGGTCTAGATCATCCATGCATGATAAGTTATGTAGAACGTGAATCCCTGTAGGTGATATGATATGATAGTCAGAATACCCAAAAAATGTTTGAGTCCTACCTGTTGGTTTTCCTAAAAAACAAGATCATCCTTACACTTGATTTTCTTCCCAACCTCTTAAAACTTCGCCAGAGTCCCTTTTTCGCTGTCTTCATGTTGCCCAATTTTTTTAGTGATCGTTTTTATGCATTAAGGAGGAAAATTAAAGTTTTTTTTTTTTGGTTTTAGGGCCATTTGGATATTATCAAGGAGTGCTAACACCTCTGTTTTCTAGACATTCAGACAATACGGAATCACCATATATGTACTTATTATGGTCATGCATCGTGTGTCAGTTATTTACATTGCATACTCCAAAGTTTAATGTATAGTCTCATTCTCAGTTCTTGGTTACCTATGCGCAACAGGGAAATCCTACAATCTGAACTTATAAGTGGAGTTCAGGAATTATGTGAGGATGAGTTATCATCATCCTCTATTAACGAAGAGGATGCCGAATCAGAATTATTAGAAGATTTCCTTGTGTTACTTAAAGAACAAAAACAGAAGGATGGCTCCAAGTTAGTGGAAGAAATTAGGTGCTTGGAAGCAGATATAAAAGAGGTTGAGAAACGCCAGACTAACAAATCTTCAGTTCTTTCTTGCTTATCTAAGGAGTCCCTCACTGTAAGGGGGAACAGTTTCCGTCATCAAGAACATTCTAGTTCAGAGGTAAAATCCTCATCCTCCCCTGCATCTGATAGTGAAATGAGGTTGACGAGGAATATCAGTGAGCTTGAAAGTGCTTACTTCTCGATGAGATCCAGTGTTCATCTTTCTGATAATGCCGCAGCAACACGTGCTGATAAAGAACTGTTAGAAAATCGAGAAAACTGGCATCAGTCATGGAAGGACAAAGAGAAACACAGATCCACTGATCGCCTAGGGGTCTTCTTTAATGGTTTGTGCAAGTATGCTCGCTACAATAAGTTTGAACTACGAGGGTTATTAAGGAATGGAGATTTTAGTAATTCTGCAAATGTCATATGCTCTTTGAGCTTCGACCGTGATGAGGACTATTTTGCTGCTGCTGGGGTATCCAAGAAAATAAAGATATATGAGTTTAATGCACTCTTCAATGATTCTGTCGGCATTCATTGTCCCGTAATTGAGATGTCAAACAAATCAAGGCTCAGCTGCATTTGCTGGAATAGCTATATCAGGAACTATCTTGCTTCAACCGACTATGATGGTGTGGTGAAGGTGCGTATTCTTTGCACATTACAATATTTTAACATTGTAAATCATGTTTGTCTGAATATCCATGACCAATCCAAGTTGCAAATTCATTATGCATCCCAAAGATTTGGAGAATCCTGACTGGTAATTCATCATGTTGGAGGGAACATATTATCAATAGAATGGACACCATCTGCAGAGGATTCTAAAGCACACACATCAGTTAGTAGGATTGGACTCCATGCATTCCTAATGTTGTGGTGCAAATAGTTATTGTTTGCCTTGCGGTATGCCTATACATTGATAAATTGAAATCTATGAGCTGTTACTGTTTGAGTGAAGTCAACACTCGTGCTGACTTTTTCTATCAACTGTGAAAAATGAATCATTCTCTCATGTGTTGAGTATGTTGGATATGACTTTTGTGGGTCTATAACATGGGGCTTAAATTTTCATCCTGCAAGAATAAAATTTATGTCAGACTTCTAATGGATTTAAAATACTTATGTTCTCAGGCTATTGTTGGCATAAATCAATTGTCCTGAATTCATAGGTAGCAAATTTGTCTTTATCATATTATCACTATAAAACAAGATTCCAACGAATTGCCTCTACAGTCACCTTGTCTATGATTAAGGCAAAAACCCTTCCAACTCCGTCTTGTCAGATAGTCGATTTTTGGCATGAGTTCATGTGCAGATCATATTATATCTATAACAAGGATGCTTGGCTTAATAGCAGGTTGTATTTTACCAAGGTATCATATAACATCATTGAAAATTTTGATATGATGCTTTATAACAATGCAAAGTTATACTTGAAAACACCCTAAAAGATTTTATAGTTGCACAAATGAATGAAATGTTTATCTGTAATTATTTACAATTTTTTTGATGTTGAATTGAGTATCGGGGGTTTCCTGACTTCTTTGAACTTGTTTTCTTGACTGTTATGTAATTTAGTTGCTGCTGCGACTTTTCTAAGTATCTGGTGTTTGCACGATTGGACCCCTATAACCATGAATACTTGCATGGGTGAATCACATTTTCAATAAATCTTGTTTTTAGTATAAATTCTCTCTGTAAATTGTATCCATCTTTCTCCTTTTTTTTGTTTGGTTTTGCCAAGGAGGGGGCGTGCGTAGTGTTACCTACTAAAATCAGATTGAGTAATGTATATATTTGTTTACCCTAATTGATATTAAATGCTAATTTATGTTCGGCATTTCAAACTGTGCCGTACCTTACCCACCCCACCCCTCTTTTCTCTTTTCCCTACACTTCTCTTCTGGTTTGCTCTCTCTGTTGATATTTGTACTTATTAAATTACCATGCATTGCTCATAAATGATGTGCTTGGGTGCTTTCAGTTATGGGATGCGGGAACTGGTCAAGGTTTTTCTCAATTCATTGAGCACAATAAAAGGGCTTGGTCTGTTGACTTTTCTCAAGTGGATCCCACAAAATTAGCTAGTGGAAGTGACGATTGTTCTGTCAAACTCTGGAGGATTAACGAGGCATGCTCTCTGCATCTTTTTCATTGTCAATTTCTTTTTGATTTAAGCATTTGCCGCTTAAAAGAGCAGGAATACCATGAGAACCTGTCTCTTTCCTCCCTTCTTCTCTCTCTCCCTCCATTTCTCATTTGTTGTTGGATATATTTTATCTTCTGAATCTTTTATTTGAATAATTACAAGGAAAATATGAGGGAGAGGGATGCCTTCTTTCTTGATATAATAAGCCGGAAATGTTCATTACAAGTGTCACATTATTTAAAGGGTTAATCTCATTTTACACCCTAAAAGATTGTTCAAATCTCAATTTGCACCCTCAAAGATAGAAATTTGTATCAATGTGCATCCCCAAAGATAAAAAATCTCAATTTGCACCCTCAAAGATAGAAATTTGTATCAATGTGCACCTAAAATTAAATTGATAAATTATACTTAGATCCACTCATGTTTGTCACTTAATCATTTGAACTCCTTCACATTTAGAATATTCCTCTTACATCTCACGACGTTTGTGCATGTATAACACATAACCACTTTTCGTTGATATCTGTTAATATAATCGTTAAAAAATATGATTTTATCCTAATAAAAAATTATAATTTCATATTACCTTTTATTTTGTGGATTTGATATACTCTAAAGTTGCAAATCAAG